AGATGTTTTACAAGCAGGAGATGAACTACAGAAGGCAGGTTGTGGTGGCACACGCGTCCTCTCCAAATCGTGATATTCCTGCTCCCTGCTGCAATGAGCAAACAAGTACGTAGGATGAGAAACTCCTGCTCTTGTCATCAGCCTCGTCCCACCAACCCTGCAAGAAAGAGTGATGCTGGGGAAGGTGGTTGCACGTACCTATCCCAAACCCTCCCCTGATTTCCTCCTCCATGTGAGAAGCCTCAGGCACCAAGCTCTGCCTGGGAAGAAAACAAGCATCTAGGAGGCAATTTCCCTCACCTCTTCCTCCTCAAACCGTGGTCTAGATCCTGCTTCCAGACTGATGTTTGTCAGAGCATTAACTACGTGCGAGTGGTAAAAATCCCACTTGCTGCAACAGCTTTTAGCGTAATCATTTTACTCGATCAAATAAGAGCTGATTAATCTAAGATAGATCAGAGAAACACAACTCCACCTTTAGGCACCCCCACTCAGTGCTACTGTCACTGCAAGGGTCACTGACGCAGCAAGTGAAGGGAGAACCAGGTAATTCATTCAGGTTTTATTTAAGATTTCAGTTTTGTTTTTAAAATGGCTGAGCTGACCTCGCACGTTAAACAAACCCGGCACTACAGGAGAGTTAGGCCAAGGCAGAACAAAGAGAAACACATTATGCAGCTGATTTCAAAACGGCAACAGTCCCTGTAGGTCCAGGTGGGACATGACACAGACACCTGCCCACAGATGAAAGCTGCAGACAGAAACCTGTAGGTGCAGAGCGACAAAGTCTCCTTTACAAACACGAGACCAAAGAGCGGTGGCTGCTGATATGATCCCAAAGCAGTGCTGACCGTGGAAAGACGCTGTACCGACGCTGCCAGGCAAGAGGGAACGCGCTGCTTGTCATCCACAGACGCCTGGGTGGCATTCGCCTCTGCCATACCACATACCCATGAAATCTGGCCTCCCTCCTCAGTTCCTTGGCAGATCAAGGCCAGCTCCTCTGTTCTAGCTCCCACTTACCCTTTTCAGCTGAATTTTGTCATTTTTGCAAACCTCCTGGATTAGCCCCAGCTCCCTTAGCACGGGCTGTGACTCAAACCCACACTGCTGCTCCCGTCTCCACTTCCAGCACCTCTTCCTTTCTGCTCTCCTCCTTCAGAGACATTGCTGCCTTGAGATGCAGCAGGCTGCCGTGGCACTCCTTGAGTTTCCTCAGCAATTGCACAATTAAAGTTTTAACCTTTGCTTTTAACCCCAGCACTCCTTGGACCAACTCCATCTTCTCCTGTAGCTCTTCCCACCATTTCTCTACAGGTATCCATCTTGGCAGTGAGTTTCTGTCCTGCTCCTGTTTCGTTACTCTTGGCTATTCCCTGTCAAAGTTGGCAGTCGCTTCTCTAAGATCCCATCTTTGACATTGTGAGCTGTCATTAGCAACAAATGATGAGATCCTAGAGCATTAATTATCCATCCACTTGATCCAGTTGGGCTTACAACCCCAAAATACATCTACAGACTCTCTATTACTGTTGGAATGCCGTTAAAACGTCTCATTATTTTATGGTGGGAAGATGGAGGATCAGATTTCATTTTTAACATTGAAGATGTCGTCATCCACTGTACAAATGGATTATGCAAGCTCTTAATTAGGAATGAGGCGCAAACAAATATTATTCTTGGACTTCGGTCTGGACCAGTTTTTCTGTCAGCCAAGGATGGTAAGCTTTAAGTACCTACTTACAGGCCATCGCAGTCCGCTCTTGCACAGTACTTTGCTGCAAATGTGCCCTACTTATACCAACCTGCAGCATTTTGAGAGACAGATGGATTAGGATACTAACAAAGATCTCGGCTAAGAAGCGACAGCCTTTTACACGCCTCACATTTCTGACCATGCAATATTTTTGACACTTTTTCAAAATGAGGCCCCTGAAAAGGGGGCCATCGAGTTGGAAACAAAATGCTGCAGCAACCCCAGCTGCTTCGCAAAATAGTGGGGTTTAAGTCGATGTGGTGTTTACCCCCCAAGCCTCTTCTCAAGCTCTAACCAGATTGTTTAAGTCAAGTAAGTGTCTCCATGGAAACCTCCTTTTTCAAGGAGCCTTCTTGCTGGAGGAAACCATGCACCCCTTTTGTTTGAAAGGGGAACACAGTTTGGTAGGAACATAATGCCTGTCTAGAGAAGAGTCTGTATCGACTCACCAGCCAGATTTATGTCCTTTAAAACGACATCCATTCAATTAAGACATTTCTGGGATGGCTAAAGGTGCGCTATCGCTGCTGCAACCAAACTAGCGAAGTTCTGCCGGCCCTTCCAGCCCTGCCCTGGCTCTATACTCTCAACATCACGACCTGCCTTCAAGGCACACAGGGGTCTCGCGTACCCCTTTCACACACGAAGTCTTGGCCCCGGTGAACTCCAAATCAATCGTTTGTTTAAAGAAAATCCAGAGCTAAAGTAATACAAGTCAATGCTCATTCTTGAAATATAGGAAGTGTCTTGTCGAAGCTACTAATTGCTTCTTAAATAAGACAATTATCAGCTGCATTTTGGAAAAGATGAGGTTTAACCTCTCCCTCCACCAAGCATTTTGTAAGCTGTAGTATGTTATATCAATTTCTGGCACAGGATTGCTTGAGATCCCTCAAAAAGGAAGCCAGTTCTTAGAAAGGACACTCAAACAATTGAACACTTCACGTTCTAATATAGAAGAGAGACTTTAATATTAAAGAGGCAAATAAATAATTCAGGGCTGTGATTAAAAATGGTTTCAACTCAGGCGAATCGGTTCACAGAGTAAAAGAAAAAGCAAAGCCACCAAAGTTCTCTAGTTGGAGTTGCTTTCAAATCACAGAAGAATCGAGATGCTCTCAGAAAAAATTAACCTCTGAGGCTTATTTTAAATCAGTCACTATTGAAGAGCTCTCTTTAGATAGGAAGGTGCTGTACATGGCTACACGAAGGCTAACACAGGTGCCGATGCTGGGCGATGCACAGATGAAAAGAGTGGAGGAAAGGATGTATCTCAGAACAACAAAAATAATCCCATTCTCCTAAGCTTAAGGTAGTCAGAAAATTTTGTTATGATTTTCTGAGAACATAAGAACATGACATGCCTGTTAACTTGAAACTAAGGTCCAGGCACACTGCAGCAGTTGCCTCCTTTACCCACCCATCACAGGTAGGGGGAAAAAAAAAGCTTGGGACAAGATGACACACATCTACAGTCACAGCCTTTGTGCTTCCCAGTGGAGATCAAAAGGCTTTTGGCAACCCCCACTCTCAAGGAGGGAAGAGAAACAAGGCAGGACCGAGTCAAAAGTGGAAGCCAATGAGACAGACACACATCACTAGCGTAACAAGAGGAATAAACAGTCATGTCGATACCTTTCCATTAAGCAATCGTGAATCCAGAAAAGCGGCTTCAAGACATACAAATAACCCTTTTTCCCTTCTTTGGGAAAATTCAGCAGAAATCCTGCTGCAGAAAAATAATTTTATGTGCGTGTTCGCGGATAGGGCATATCTGCATTAAGTTTCTCATCTCAATTGGATGTCGAGGTCGGAATGGGTAAGGGAGCTAAAGACATTAAACACATTTGTGGGTCGGATTTAATCCTGTGCTCTCAAAAAAAGTCAATTGCCAAATCTCTAAGACCAGAGCCATATGAGATTTTGGATCAAGTGAGATCTAGCCCCTAATTCCTTCTTCCCACATATGTCATCTGAAGTCTTCCAGAAGAAATACAAAGTCCTTATTCAAAGGGAATTATTCAAGGGTAGTGGCCTTCCATTTCGCAGTCTCCACCTGAGCTCCAAGCAGAGGAGCTCATCAATAGATCATACACCTCTCCAGGCTGGCAGCTTTGCTATTTTGCCCAAGGAATTTGTGCTTAGATACAAGCTTTGTAAGGGGAAACTCTTAATATTACAGGGAGATGAAATACATACACAAAAAGGGAGAGAGGCTGCAGATTTTGGCAATGGACTCGAGCCTTGTGTCAAACAGTGACCACCCTGGAGCACAAAGGATGTGAGAAGGCACCACAAAAGCAAAAGACCTCACAAACTCTATCTATACCTGGTAAAACTAGCGTACGAGCTGTCATGTATTGTGGAGCAAATAGGAAAAATATTTGAATTAAAACGCAGGTATAGGGAGGAAAGGGCTGAGTCACCAGTAAGTCTCAGCAAGAAGC